CATGCCTTAATCACTAATCAACCATAAATAAGATTCTTGCCTAAGTTAAAGCATTTTCAGTAGTAAATACAAGTGTCTACACAGAACAAACTAAACTTACCATAGTGAAATGATTTAATGATGTGAAAAAATACATAAATTTACCGTGAGGCGAATATGTTTTTATACCAATCTTCAGTTACCTCAAATGGGGTTGGGAGGGGGCACAGAAAAAGGAAGAATAACGGAAGAGTAGAAAAAGTCAATAGAAATAAAAGAATTAACATAACCCAACAATCAACTCTGCCCTCTCAATATCTTCAATCCAGCATGAGAACAAAAATACAGAAAATAAAGCTAGAATATAACACTGCAATTGCATTTCTGATCCAGTAGGAAATAAGAAGTATTTTCCTTTCACCAACATTGTCAATCTTGGAAAAATTAGAAGCACTTCCTGTGGACAATAGAAGGACCAGATTCGTCATACTCTGCCTTCGCAATCCACATCTACAGAAAATAAGAGAAGCAGAAAACACCGTCAGTAACTGTCAAGCTTCGAAGTACGATAGACACCGAAAAAAAGCAAACTTATAATTATTAGGAGGGAGGGGGAAGGGGAAGGGGCGACGCAGACCTGCTGGAAGGTGCTGAGGGAAGCCAAGATAGAGCCTCCAATCCAGACACTGTATTTCCTCTCTGGTGGAGCGACCACCTTAATCTTCATGCTGCTAGGAGCCAATGCAGTAATTTCTTTGCTCATTCTATCAGCAATACCAGGGAACATGGTAGTACCACCACTGAGCACAATGTTTCCATAAAGATCTTTTCTAATATCCACATCACATTTCATGATAGAGTTGTATGTAGTCTCGTGGATTCCTGCAGCTTCCATTCCAATCATTGAAGGTTGGAAAAGGACCTCAGGACACCGGAAACGCTCAGCACCAATGGTGATCACCTGCCCATCTGGGAGCTCATAGCTCTTCTCAACAGAAGAGCTGGTCTTTGAAGTCTCAAGTTCCTGTTCATAGTCAAGAGATATGTAAGCGAGCTTTTCTTTCACGTCCCTGACAATTTCTCGCTCAGCTGAGGTGGTGAACGAGTAACCACGCTCGGTGAGGATCTTCATCAAACTATCAGTGAGGTCACGACCTGCCAAGTCAAGACGGAGAATGGCATGTGGAAGGGCATACCCTTCATAAATTGGGACAGTGTGGCTGACACCATCACCAGAGTCCAACACAATACCTGCGGAGAAGAAAAAGAATTAGAAGTAATAACTCAATTGATAACAACCATGTCAAAATTAGAAGGTTACAACTTATAAGTAATCATATCCACAAAGCATCATATAAGTGCAAGATTTTTACATGGTAGAAGCATCAAGAAACTTGAGAGATGTCAGTAATATAAAATAATTATGCTAATAAAGAATGAAAATTTTCTTACCGGTGGTACGACCACTGGCATACAGTGAGAGTACAGCCTGAATAGCAACATACATAGCTGGGGTATTGAAAGTCTCAAACATAATCTGGGTCATCTTTTCACGATTAGCCTTGGGGTTAAGAGGGGCTTCAGTTAGGAGGACAGGATGCTCCTCAGGGGCAACACGAAGCTCATTGTAGAAAGTATGATGCCATATCTTCTCCATATCATCCCAATTGCTGACAATTCCGTGCTCAATTGGGTATTTAAGAGTTAAAATACCTCTCTTCGATTGAGCTTCATCTCCCACATAGGCGTCTTTTTGACCCATACCCACCATCACACCAGTATGGCGGGGACGGCCAACAATACTAGGAAATACAGCTCGTGGAGCATCATCTCCAGCAAACCCAGCCTAGATAATAAACCAATATAAGAATCTCTTAATTTTGTAAACAGAATGGGCAACAAGGTAATAAGCATCAGTAAAAAATGGCAGGCCAACTCTGCTGTAGTACAAAACACTTGAGCTTACCTTGACCATTCCAGTTCCATTGTCACAGACAAGGGGCTGAATATCCTCTCCGTCTGCCATCTTATGCTATTTCCTGCATTGAAAAACGAAACCTCAGTAAGAAATGTATATGTCCAAAAAATTACCATCTGATACTGATATCTTGATTCCTTATACAAGTTTTCGCTATTTGTAAATAACAAACAAGTTTAAATAAGCTGAACACATAAAGTCCCACATAAAAGAATGCACCTTATGGGAAAGAGATGTTCATATACTATTCCTTCAGTCAAAGGTTACTATTACTTCGAACCTCTATTTTTTCAGTTTTCAGGGAAATATATTCTCTCTTTGCACGGATGACAAAGTAAAGGCTCCGCACATAAATTGAATAATAGTATGTTAACAATTATAGATATTACTTTAGCTAATGATAAATCAGTGCATCAACAAATAAGTAGAAATATGTTTCACAACATCAGAGATTTTGGACATATTAAACCAGCTCACGAGATACACTAACAAAGTTGGTTTTCCATGGATAATGGATAAATGATAAAATCACCACCAGTTTTTGGTGGATTTTACATTTATTAGGTTGAATAGGTACAGGTGTACAGCTTTTTGCAAGCCTTATAACTGCACACAATCCATAATACATAATGCACTTCAAGTTTCATAAAATTTACCCACAAAACTCAATAGCTTCTATTTCACACAAAAAGCAACAATGAGACTCAAATAAACCACATGATTCAGATTCCATATTTCCCCAAATCCAGTGCATTACAATCATTAGAATAATCGGGATAACCACCAAAGGCATCTGCAATGTTCTATTTCCCTAGGATCATCATATCAAATCAAAACAAATATCACTATTAGATTTGCTTCTGCTGTTCTGCCAAGCAATTCCAGAACTCTACGACATTATCAGTTAACACGCAAAGATCCATCACATTAATTCAATAATACATAAACTCTCAAAAAGTACTCAGCAGATCCAACAAAATCCTAATAAAAAAAGGAAGAAAAACCCTGTTTTCATGGATACTTGTAAGTTGTATCTATGCCATATCTGCTAAATCTAGAAATGTGCTAAGCTCATTCAATTTTGATACTATTTTCCATATAATCAATAACTGAACATTCTGATGAACAGATCTACGGATCAAAAACATAATTACTACAAAAATGGATCAATTACACCTCAATATCATATACATAATTATCAAAAAAACGAGAAAAAGCGATTGTGTGATTGAAATTGTAAAATGCAGATGAATAACTTTTTCTCGGAACTAGGAATCTAAGAGAACCGTGTAAAGAGAAAAAAAGGAAAAAAAAAAACAATTATGCATTCATGGATAACAATATCTATGTCATATATGCAAAATCTAGTAAATGTGCTAGCTCATTCAATTTTGATACTATTTTCCATATATCAGCTAACAACCAACACCTGAATATTCCAATTAATGGATCGAAAACATAATAATTACTACAAAAATCGATCAATCAACCTCAATATATATAAAAAAAAAAGAGGAAGAAAAACAATTCAGTTTCCATGGATAACAATATCTATGCCATATCTGCAAAATCCATAAATATGCTAGCTCATTCAATTCTGATACTATTTTCCACAAATCAACTAACAATTAACACCTGAATATTCCGATGAATAGATCTATGGATCGAAATCATAATAATTACTACAAAAATCGATCAATTACACCTCAATATCAAACATAATTATCATAAAAATGCGAGAATAAGCAATTGAAATTGTAGTAAAATACCGATGAACAGATCTACGGATCGAAAACACAATAATTACTACAAAAATCGATCAATTACACCACAATATCAAAAAAATGCGAGAAAAATCGATTGAAATTGTAGTAAAATGCAGATGAATCGTACCTTTTTTCGGAGAGAAAATTGGTAGAGAGATGAGGAGAGAGAGAGAGAGGCACACACAAGCAAACAGTCGAGGAATGCAAAATGTGGAAAAGCTCTCTTTCTTCTTCTTCTTCTCTATTCTAACCTTCTCTAAGAGAAAAATGAGAAAATAGGAAGAGTATATATGGAAGATTTGAGAAGAAATGTGAGCCGTTGGATCTGTGATGAAATGATATGAGTGACAGTCAGCATAACACGTCGTGGGGGGCTATCATTACCTCATTACTCATTAGTGGTTGTCACACACTGGCATCTCCCTATTCTATCGCTTTTTCCTTCATTTAAAAAAAAAATATATTTTGCTAAATATTTACTAAATATTAAATCAAATAATGTAATTTTTACAATCACAAATAAAAGGGAAGAAGTATTGGAGAGAGGTAGAGGTGGATCAAAAAAATATTGGTGGGGGGGATGATTAGATAGTACGTGACATAGTTTTTATTTATGATCAATGATATGATCTTAGAAACGAGGTAGTTGAGTATAAATAGGTGATGAAGGACACATATTATGATAGGTAGTTGAGTGTGTCAGGCTTATGATACTATACTAATAATTGTTGTGTATTACTCTTGTAGTTTTTTTTACTTCAATTATTGTATTACTTTGCAATAGCTGTTGTTCCTTTGTTAAAATTATTCTATCTTGCTATGCTTTCTTCACTTTCAGTTATCTCTTTTTCTGTTTTGCTTTGTTTTTCTTTTCCTCTCTACCTCTCAAAGTACATTAAGGTTTGCATATACTTTACTTTTTTCAGATTTCACTTATGAGATTATACTAGATATATTATTATTAGATTTATTGTTGTATAAATTAAAGGGAAATGCAGTATCATGTATTCAACTATATTTGAGTTGGAGCAGTGTGAGCAAATTCGAGACGATTTGCTAAGACAAAATGTATAAACAGACTAACCCCAAAAAAGAACTCTCACTCGAGAAAGCGGCCCCTTTCTTGCTTGATTCGTTTGTATAGTAAATGAGTCATTTTAACCCTTTACGCAATGATAGAATAGAATGAACGAACCATTTGGCCGGAATTTAACATATAGAAGTCCGTAAGATCACCAGATGGGTGATGGTTCGGGATAGTTGTAAGACATTCGCGGTAACATCAATAGCTTATGAGTAACTTACTTCTTGTTAAAAGTTGCGTACAATTGACCCTTGTAGTCCTACCCTTTTCTGAACCCGCGTATAGCAAAAGCTTAGTGTACCAGTCGCTTTGTCTATGGACAAAACAGAAGGGGTACATGCACAAAGCACAAAGCACAACCTAGTATAAAACATGAAACACTAAATTTGTTTTCTGTGTTGCTACTACCAAAGAAAAAATTGTCAAATACGAAGGAAAGAACAACTAAGAAATGGTGAATCCTAACTCACATGATGTCACCTGCAACATTTATAGCTTCAACTGCTAAAACTGCATCCTGCAAAATGAGGGAGGGGGGGGGGGGGGGGT